TCTTTCCAGTAAGCACATGCCCTATAGCAAATATCTCTCTCAAAAATAAATAAATAGAGAGAGAGAGAGAGAAAATCAAGCCAGGTGCATGTACCCACATGCCCAAAATCCCAAGAGGAGAATGGAGAGGGGACTGCAGTGTGATTATCCTTCCTGGGAGGTGATTTCTCACTTGCTTTCTGTCTCTCTGAAGAGCGCATGCGCCCTACAGCAAAAATTTCTCAAATAAATAAATAAATAGGTGTCAGTGGATGGATTAACGGTAATGTCACTGGACTCCCACGTAGTCGGCCACGGTTCCAGTCTCGGACCGGGTGGCTTAAAATTCACTCCAGGCACGTGTGTGAGCACGTCCAAAATCCCAAGAGGAGAATGGAGAAGGGATTGCAGCATGGTCATCCCGGGCGGGATGGTGGTGGTGATTTCTGGCTTTCTGTCTGTCTCTCCAGCGACCACATGCACCCTACATAAAAAAATCTCTCTAAAAACAAAACAACACGAACAACAACAAAAAGATTATTTGGTACAAAAAATGTTGAAACTACGTATAGTTCTTCATAAGACGCATTTTTCATGGACTTTTTGAGGACTCTCCACCCTCCCACCCCCCGCCATCCCCATGCACTGCTGATGCAGAAGAGTCGCCCAGCCGGCAGTCCAGGCGCCTTGATCTGCCTCAGCGACCCACGGGCCCACCCGCTCCCGGGCCCCTGACTGACGCCCCCTCTCCGAGGCCAGTGCGCAAACCTGCGCTGCCCTCAGGCAGGGGAGCGAACAGGACACTGCACTCCGGCTGCCGCCGGGCCCTGCGCCCTCTCGCGGCCGCGCCACCTCAGCACGCCCTTTACGCAGGATCGCTGCCTAGCTTTGTCTCTGAAGATGAGCATGCGCAGCCCCCACCAGCGGATCTACCCGGAGAGAAAGGCTTCTTAGCCAATCGGAGAACCCCAAAGAAGTCCTCCTGCCCACGTGGGCACAGGGGCGTGGCCTTCTATTTTAACGAATGAGAAGCCGTCGGTCCTCCCAGCGCACGCGCAACTGGTGAGGGGGTGGGACTAGGAGGTAGTTTCTTCAGCAAAATGGCGGTGAGCGGCGTCCGCCGGGCTGCGGCCGTGGCCCCCACAGCCGTGAAGCCCATTTTCAGTCGGGACATGAACGAGGCCAAACGGAGGGTGCGCGAGCTCTACCGCGCCTGGTATCGGGAGGTGCCGCACACTGGTGAGAGGCTGCGGCGCACGCGGGGACCCGGAGGCAGCCGCCCAAGGTCGCAGCCGCCCGGCCCGGATTTCTCTCAGGCACAGCGGAGGTCACCAACTTGGGCAGAAGCGACGCTGGGTGCTTCAGGGGAGAAGGGTCATCCGAGCCCATGGGGAGCCCAACCTGGCGATGGCGCCGGAGTTAAACCAGCTGTGCTCGGCCACCGTACAGCGCTTCTAGGCGCCGTGGGCGCTTCGGTCTCTTTTGACCCCTATAATTCTCACAGAACCCCCGGGGACACGGGCAGGGATTGTTAGTGACATTCTCATTTAGTAGGTGAGGTAACCGGGGCACCGAGAGGCAACGGGACGCGCCGAGGCCCAGAGCTGGCTTCTGGTGGCTCTGGAACCTGGAGTATGGACTCTAATAAGAGTTCTAGAATAGATTTTCAGGCGCCGGTTAGGTTTTATAACCCAAGTGGTGCAGGATTTCAGTGATGCCCCAGTTCCCACACTCCCCACAGACACACTGAACCAGAAAAGGGAAGTGACTTTCCCAAGGCCGTCCTGTAAGTCCGAGGTGCCTTTTCCAGACCTTCCAGGCTCCACTTGCCTCTGCTGTGCCCTAGGAGTCCTGATTCCTTCCCTCTCGGCCTATGGAGAGAGCCCGGGAGGGAAGGAATGTGGTGTTAGGAGCATGATGGCCCCAAGCTCTGTCCTTTACCGGCTGTGTGACTTTGGGCAGATTATTTAATCCTTGCCTCAGTTTCCGGATCTTTTAACTGAGATAATAGTTCCTTCTCTGGAGTTACGGTATTAAATAGGTCAGTATTTCTAAAGTGGTTAGAACAGAGCCTGGCATGTAGGTAACGTTCAGCATATGGGCTGCTGCTATTGTTTTTGTTGTTACTGTGATTTATAGCTCTTAGCAGAACTCAGTTCTTTGATGTATGAGAGCTCCTGTCCACAAGCTGACTTTGAAAGATTGCTGGTGACCAGAGTTTAAACCTACCTGATGGTAGAGAAGAAGGAACTTGTGTGATCTGTTGGCTCAGGGACTGCAATTTCAAAAGCCTTCAGGGAACAGGCAGATAATAGGTGTGTGGGGTTGTTCAAATTCAGATGTTTAAACACAGGGTGTTTGCCATTTGCCTAGCAGAACTCTGCTGTGAGTGCCCACATCCCTTTCTTACTGCAGGAGGGATGATTTGAAAAGGGTGATAGGCAACTGGGAGCTAGAGTCCAAGTATCCTGACTCTCAGGACCCAGCTCTTTCTAAACCATCCTTTCCCAAGACCTTCCCTCAAATACTCTTTGGAGAGATAATCTCAGAGTCAGAAGGGTCCAAACAGGAGGGAAAAGAAGGGGATTAAAGGAGCCAGGAGAGCAAGGGGAGAAAGGGTTGGGGGAAGGAAGCTGTCAAGTGGTGTTATATACATATGGGGAAGATGAATGTTGTGTATGTAGCACGTCATTTACTCAGGCCTGTGGTACACTGTCATGCTGCCCTTTACTGGGACTCCAGCTAAGGACTGGGAATAAGTAATAATACTGGTAGTGGCTGGCATTTATTAAATGCTTACATGTGATCCAGCGTGGTGATAAATTATTTCTATTGCCTTATTTATTTTTATTTATTGTTAGTACTTTTTAAGTTTATTTCTTCCATGAGCCAGAGAGAGAGAGGCGAACAATACCTTCAACAGGGTCTCAATTCTGCCGTCCACCCCAGCTTCAGCCAGCCCTAGATTGTGGGCATGTAACATGGCTGGCATACTTAGGGAGGTCTGGACTGGAGCTTTCCATGTGAGTCAGCCTTGCAGAGTGTCACCTTTTACTGCTGTGCCACCATCCAGTCTCCTGTTGTCTTGTTTCAGGGTGGACTCTGTTTGCCTGCCTTACAGATGAGTAGACTGAGACCCAAACATCTCAGGCCACAGCATTATTAAGTTGATTAGTAAGTTGAGCTGGACTTTACACCCTACCTGTACTACTCTAGTATGTGGTTTTTAGGTGTTACTGTAGTTTTCCCTGAATCTTACAGGGTCAGGTTTGGGATAGGAGCATAGGGATAGAACTGCCTTTGAATCTCTTCTTGGGAAAAGTATTATATACTGCTTGCTGCTCATAAGGTATCAGGAGACTTCCTATGGAAAGAGTTTATCCATTTCATTTCTTTTACCTCTTGCACTGTAGGGTTAGTACTAGATAGTTAGATACAAAAGTGAGTAAAACACAGTCTGCCTATAAGTCCTGTGGTCTGGTCAGGGAGATGGGCATATAAACAAAGAATTAAACTTAAAGTATGATAGAGGTCTGAAGGGAAAGTGCTGAAAATTTTAACAGCCAGCATTTGTATTCTGCTTTACTATTTATAGGGTATTGTCCCTTGAATTTTTACCACATTCCTGTAAAGGAATTAGGTTATTTCTCATTCCTAAAAACTTCCTGTTTTTTAGATGAGAAAACAGGCAGAAAATGTTGTACCTGAGAGGTTAATGGTGTGGAAACTTCATCCAGCTTGTCTGACCACCCATCCCCTTTCTTTGAATTTTGCTAGAGGGCACATGTGTTCAGGAGGAGAAAGGGAGAGGCTGGGGAAATAAGAAAGCATCCTCCATGGGGAATGGTCACACTGCAATCCCTTCTTCATTTCTCACCTGGTGTGTTTCTAAAGCCACAAGGTCCTGGACTTAACCACCACTCCCAGATTGGCCCATTCTTTTTCTTTCTTTTTTATTTTTGGAGAGGTTTTTGCTATAGGGCACGTGTGCTTGCCAGAAAGACAGGGACAGACAGAAAGTGAGAAATTGCCCCCCCCTCCCGGGGGGGGGGGTGACTACGTGGCAACCCCTTCTCCTCCATTCTCCTCTTGGGATCTTGGGCATGCACGCACACGCGCCTGGCATGAGTTTTAAGCCACTAGGTCTGGGACTCAAACCGTGGTGGACTACATGGGAGTCCTGTGACATAGCCATTATGCTATTATGTTAATTGTTGGTCCCTCTTTTTTTTTTTTTTTAAGAAGTTTTTTACTATAGAAAGACAGACAGTGAGAGATCACGGGGGTGGGGGGGTGGGGGGAGTGATAGCCACGCCACAGTCCCTTCTCCTTTCTCTTCTCAGGATCTTTTGCACACATGGCCAGTGTCCAGTCTCCTGCTGGTCCCTCTTTTTCTAATTTAAAACACATTTTGGGGACCAGGAGTTGGCGTAATGGTTATGTCACTGGACTCCCATGTAGTCAACAGCGGTTCGAGTCCCAGACCCAGTGGCTTAAAACTTAACACTGGGCATGTGTGCATACATGCCCAAAATCCCTAGAGGAAAATAGAGGAGAAGGAATTGCAGCATGGCCATCTCCCCTAGGGGATGATTTCTCTTTTTCTGTCTCTCTGTCTCTCTTTGGCGAGTGCATGCACCCTATAGCAAAAATCTTTCTCTTAAAAAAAAAAAAAGAAAAACATGTTTTGTTTTGTTTTATTAAAGGGTATATGTGCTGGGACCAGCAGTTAGCATAATGGCTATGTCGCTGGACTCCCATGAGTCGACCACGGTTCGCGTCCCAGACCCGGTGGCTTAAAACTCATGATGGGCGAGTGTGCCTGTGTGCCCAAGATCCCAAGAAGAGAACTGAGAAGGGATTGCGGCATGGCCATCCCCCCTGGGGGTGATTTCTCGCTTTCTGTCTCTCTACCTCTCTCTGTCTAGCGAGCACACGCACCCTATAGCAAAAACCTCTCCTAGGAGAAGAGAAAGCACACCCTGTGGGGAATGGTCATGCTGCAATCCCACTCCTCCTGTCCCTCTTTCAGGACTTTGGGCACGCACATATATGTGGCAAGCCACTGTGTCCTGGACTCAAACTGTGAGGTAGACCATGTGGGAATTGACTGCCTTACCCAGCAGGCCATGGAGCTAACACTTAAAAGACAGGGCCAGCAGGTTGTATGTTGGTTAGTGCCCTGGACTGCCATATGGCTGACTGCAGTTTGAGTCCTGTACTGGTCACTTGTTTTCTTTCTCTCTCTCTCCCTCCCTCCCTCCTCTCCCCTCCCTTCCTTTCCCCTCCCCTCCCCTCTTTCCCATCTCTCTCCTTCTTTCCCCCTCCCTGTCTGTCTGTCTGGTAAGAGGACATGTCCTGTGGCAAATTAAAAAAAAAAAAGATGATAAATAAAATTAAGTAATTCTTAGGGCCAGCAAATGGCGTGGTGGTTAAGGTGGCTGGACTCTCCCACATGACTGACTGCAGTTTGAATCTCAGACCTGGCAGCTTGCTTTCTCACTTTCCTGCTCTCTGTCTCTCTCTGGTCAACTTCAAACAAATAAAATGATGGCAATGAATAAAATTAAATAAAAAATAATAATTCTTTAAAAAAATAAATAATTCTTAAAAACAGATATACACACACACAATTAAAAAAAAAAAAAAAAAAAAATTGCCAGAGCTTGTGTGCACTCAGTGGAGAGCCACAGAGGGAACATGAGAAAGCACCCACCATGGGGCACGGTCATGTCAGTCACTTCTCCATTAACCTCCTTTTTAGGATTTTGGGCAAACCGGTACATGTACCCAGAATTTTTTTTTTTTTTAAGGTTTTTGCCATTGTGTGTGTGTGTGTGTGTGTAGCACGCTGGAGAGAGACAGAAAGATAAGAGAGAAATCACCCTCCTGGGGGATGGCCATGCCAAAATCCCTTTTCCTCCATTCTCCTGGGATTTGGAGCACACATACATACATGCCCAGTGTGATTCTCAAGCCTCCAGGTTCAGGATATGAACTATAGTTGGCCATGTGCCTTAACTACCACATCACCTGCCGGTCCCCTCAGAATGCTTTTAAGCTACCTGTCCAAGACTTGAACCGTGTAGTTGGCCATGTGGGATACAATTATCTTAACCACCATGCTGGCCCCAAAATATAATTTTTTTGGCGGGGAGAGATTTTTGCCGTAGGGCGCACGCGCTCACCAACAAGATAGAAAGAGACAGTGAGAAATCACCCCCCAGGGGGTATGGTCA